CTATAAATAGAAATATTACACCGGAAGTAGGGTTAATATAAATAAGAATTCCACTCCTTCCCATAAATCGAAGGTTCTTTTGACAAATGAAAATAAAATAAAAACTGTGTTGTGTGTAGGAAGCCTTTCATCCTATTTTCCTTTGCGATACATTCTTAAAGTTAAGTGTTCATGAAAGGTTAAAATTAATTCGTTCACATAAACTCTGCGAATTTACGTCTAAAGCAAAATCATAAGAAAAGTCAGTGTCTCTCGAAATTTAAATGATCCGCTTGCGCGGGAAAAACACAATAAATTAATATGCATGGATAATGAAGGTCATTCGAAGACTCCTTGTCGTCGCTCGGTGACGCCACTTAGACAAAACAAAAGTGAGCTCGATGCCGCCGCTGGAAAAGGTGACTCAGAATTGAAAGCGTTGAGTGTTTTAAGTAACAAGAATAAACAAAAAAGAAAAAGTGTACTTTTTTCTACTGCAGAGATTTATGTCCGTCAGGACGCCAAAAATAATCGAAGAATAAAAATCCGTGCGATTTTAGACAGCGCATCTAATATATGTGTTCTTACAGATAAAATAAGTGAATGCTTAGGAATAAAAAGGGAGAAAATTAAAAATGCCTGTTACAGGTCTTAATGGATCAATTCAAAATATTAAATGGAAAGTGAATACATTTATTTCAAATGAAGAATGTACCTTTAATGAACCAGTTGAATTCTTGATTGTAAATAAGATAACAGGACTAACTCCGTGTACTACGTTAGATATTTCGAAAGTAGAAATTCCACAATTTTTAAATTTAGCTGATAAATCATTTTATGAAGCTTCAGAGGTACATGCCCTTATAAGTGCTGATTTATTTTTTTAAGGTTTTGAAAAATAATACGTATAAAATAAATGATGATTTATTGTTTTAAAGAGTCTGAATTCGGATGGATCGCATGCGGGAAGCTTAACGAAATACAACCTTCTTATCAGGGACATTGTTTTCTTGTGCAAAATGACTCTCTTCAAAATACTTTAAAACTTTTCTTTGATTTAGAGGGACTTGGTATTCGTGATGATCCAGTTTTGCATGAAAAGGATCAGGCAATGGAAATTTTTAATGACACCGTTGAATTTAAAAATGGACGTTATGTAGTACAACTACCTTTTAGGAAACATTATGAAGAATTATCTGATAATTATTCCTTGGCGCGGCAGCGTTTTCAGAATTTGTGGAGAAGATTTAGTCATGATCCCTGAGTTACATCAACAATACCGTGAAATTATTTGTGATTATTTAAAAGAAGGCATAATCAGCATCGTAAATCCTGATACAAAAGAAAATGCTTTAAATAAAGGCCTATATATTATTTGCCTCATCAGGCTGTGCGGAAAGAAAGTAGTTTAACGTCGAAAACTAGGATCGTCTTTGATGCGGGTAGTCATCAAAATAATGAACTTTCTTTAAATGACTGCTTGTGGCCAGGGGTTAACTTAAATCCAAATCTTTTGGATTTACTAATTAATTTCAGATTGAACAAAATTGCATTTTGTTCAGATGTTAAACAAGCTTTTCTGTAGATTTGCATCTTTGATGAACATAAGGAAGCAGTTCATTTTCTTTGGAGCAATGATGATCCATGTGTTGACAAAAAGGCCCAATTTACAAACTTACCACTTCAATTAAGTAAACTTCAGAGTCAGTTCGAACCCATTCCTGTTAGCAGCTACTGTTAGACATCATACTGAAAAATGTAAGGAAGTTTTTCCCGAAACTGTTGATATTTTAGACAAATGTTTTTATGTAGATGATTTTATTTCTGGAAGAGAGGATTTTGAAGAAGTGTTTGAAGTATCCAGAAATGCCAAGAAAATTATGGAAGATGCTGGAATGCAATAATGCTGAATTAATGGAGCAATGGAAGAATGAAGAATTTCGATACCTATCCTGCAGACGCTACTCTCAGCTTGGGTGCACACCAAACTAAAAATCTTGGGACTTTCTTGGAAGACGCACGAAGATTATTTAACTATGGATACTAAAAATCTTTTGGAATTTCTTTCTATGGACAAAAATACGAAACGCTTCTTACTTCAAGCAATAGGGAAGATATTTGATTCCTTTAGGATTAATTTCGCCTTTCACCATTCGAGTTAAATGCCTCATCCAAGATCTCTGGAATGAAAAAGATCTCAGTGGAATAAAAAAAAATTCAGTGATGACCTTTACCAAAGGAAATTGAAAAGGAATGGAGAAAGTGATGTGCTGAACTTCATCACTTAGAAAATTTGAAAATACCTAGGTTGGTTAATGATTCTGTTTCACAGGAAGATACTGTTGAAATACACAATTTTTGCGACGCAAGTAAAAAGGCATATGGCGCTGCCATATATTTGAAGGTAAAGACACTCAACTGGAATATCGGTGAAACTCCTAACTTCAAAAAGTCGTGTGGCTCCATTAAACTGGTGTAACCTTACCAAGATTAGAACTGTTGGGTGCTCTAGTTGCAGCTCGTCTTAGTTCTAAGGTAAACAGAATCGTGAATCTTAAAAAATCTTCTACTGAATACCATTGGACAGACTCCAAGATTGCACTTTTTTGGGATAAAGGGTGCAAAAACCCGATGGAAGCAATTTGTGGCAAACCGAGTGAACGAAATCACCAGCCTTGACAGATCCCTAACTCTTGGCATCACTGTGCAGGTAAAGAAATCCTGCCGATCTTCTCTCGCACGTGGAATGAATGCTGATTCCTTGGTGACAGATTCTAGATGGTGGACAGGTCCAGAATTCTTGATGCAACCCTGACAGTTTTCAAGAACTTGCAACCATTTATTCCTGAGACTTGAAACCATCGAACAAGTCGAAAAAGAAACTTTGCGGCGAGAAAAGGAAAATTCCTTTCTAAAGATGAGACTTGTAAAGAGACAGCCCTGCTAAATGACAGCTCTCAACATTTTATTGTGGACGACCTCTTAGAACTTTCAAACAATTATTATAAAATTAACCATGTTTTGTCTCTTATATTTTCAGGTTTATTTTCAATTGCAGGAATAAGGTAAAAAACACAGGACCACTGTCAGTGGAGGAGGTAAGAGAAGCCGAAGAAGTGTTGATTAAGCATGAACAACGAGTTCTCGGCTTGAAGGAAAGAAACTGTCAAGTAATATTTCGAATTTATTTCCGTTTTTTTGATGACAAAGGAATAGTACGTGTAGGAGGAAGGCTGAAGAATGCTTCAGTGCCATATTCTCAAAAGACATCCTCCTATTTTACCTAAGGGTTCAAGATTAAGTAAAATTTATTTTGAAAGTTTACACAGGAAATTATTTCATGGTTGGACCACAAGGTCTGCTGAAATGCAGTGCGCTTGAAACTTTGGCCTTTAGGTGGCCGTAGGTTTCGCACGTAAAACAGTACATCAATGTGTAACGTGCATGCTTTAAATGTTAAGCCCACTCTTTCTTCACAAATTATGGGTAATTTGCCTAGTGAAAGAGTTAATATGTTTCAGCTCCATTTTCTATTACAGGTATTGATTTATGTGGCCCTTATTTAGTGAAATTTAAAAATCAACGTAAAGGTATTTCTGAAATAAATTGTATGTATTTGTATTTTTATATGTTTCGCAACAAAAGCCATCCATCTTGAGACATTAACAGATTTGACTTCCGATGCTTTAATTGCAACACTTAAACGTTTTACAAGTAGACGTGGCAAATGTTTCAAAATTTTATACGACAATGCTACTAACTTTGTTGGAGCGAATTCAAAATTGAAAAAATTTTATAAGCTCATTAATTTCCCAGACAAAGAATTAGCTAATCATTTTTCGCAAGAAAATATAGATTGGAATTTTATTCCACCCAAATCGCCTCACTTCGGTGGACTTTGGGAAGCTGGGATAAAATCGGTCAAAGTACCATCTTAAACGTACGATTGGCAATTTTCATTTCACTTACGAAGAATTCGAAACGATTGTCATTCAGATAGAAGGAATATTAAATTCGCGACCACTTACTCCTCTTTCTAGTGATTCAGAAAGTTTCGAAGTTCTGACGCCAGGTCATTTCTTGATAGGGCGACCTATAACAGCAATTTCTGAGCTTTTTTTAACGGATTTAAAGGAAAACCGCTTAAGTCGTTGGCAAAAAACTACAAAAACTATACAACTTATTTGGAAAAGATGGAAGTCTGATTACTTGAATACTTTACAATCTAGATCAAAATGGATGGTTGAAAAAAATGATCTGATGATCGGCCAAATGGTTTTGATTAAAGAAGATTTTCTGCCAATTAACAATTGGCTTTTAGGGCGAATAACATCATTGTACCACGGTTCTGATGGAAAAGTCCGTGTGTTGTAAAAGTTCGTACCAAAACAGGGGACTTTAAAAGGACAATTAATAAAATAGCTGTATTGCCTATTGAAGTTTAGCAAGTTGTGAATTATGTTACTCAGTTGTTAGTAATTATATTGAAAATTATTTTTCTCAATAATTTTGTATTCATGTTTTGTTCACTTATTTTATATTTTTCTGTACATATTTTATACTTGTTTACATGAATAACTGAAACTTTAATACTGGTATTTCATAATTAAATTTATGTTAAGTTCTTGCATGTGAACATAGCAAGGCCGGGCGGGATGTTGGCGCATTTTACGCCAACGAATCTCGCCAAATTATCGCCTCCTGCGATTGAGGCAGCAGACTTGAAGAAGAAATCTAACCGGTCTGACGTGAGCAATTACTTGTAACCGAAGCTCACAATTAAATTGTATTTTGCTTCACTGTAAATATTTTGTATATGATGTTTTTCTAAATAAAATAATTAAAAACGAAGCAGTGAAGCTGGTCCGTCGAAAAAATAACCTTTAAGAAAAATAAGTTTATTCATTATGTTTAAATAGTCTATTATAATTGAAGATAACTCATAAAAGTTTGACTTAAAATATAACATTGAATTTTAAATAGCAAGCAAGAAATCATATGCTATGAAATGTATTTAATACCTGATAAAATGCTTTTTGTACATTTTTTGCAACATTTATTTTGTCCTTTTGGTAGTATATTGCAGCAAAGACGACGATGTTTAACATCAACAATGAGCAACCAACGGCGATGGTGACTCCGAGAGCTGACAAATGGACTCTTTTATCCAATCCAAAAACATGGACCCCTGTGGAGTTTCCAGTGCCATTCCTCTCATGGTCTGTCTTCTCTCCTGTTGCGTTGAATTGAAAAGAATCTGGACCTGTGTGCGTTGGTGTCTGCACACTATCTATGTACGAATCCCGCACGATTCCATCATAAGAAGACAAGTTGTGATGATCCTCAAGCATGTGATGCTGATCAGTAGTAGTGTTATCAACAGTGTCTAATAGAGGTATGAGGTTAAGCCAATAGGACAGCTTATGAGCGTTGTAGTGATCCTGCACTTTCGGTTTCGTGGCTGTAAAATCAAATGGAAATTTCAAATTTATTTTTCTACAAATAAAATTCTCTACAAAATAGGATTAAATTCAAAACATTCAGGAGCTTATCATACATTAATAAATGAAGTAAACCTTCGTACGAAATTTACGAATGAAAGCAATCCCTAAAATTTCCTAGTTCTTAACCGGAAAAAATTATTTTTAATGAATTTTAATAACCAAAACAAAATAGCCCTTATCAATATACTAGTTAGTGGTACAGGTTATATGTTGGAATAGGGTTCGAATCCCGAAGAAAGAGTATAAATGTTTAAATGTAGAACATCTTTGCACTTGAAGGTATATAACTACTATTGAGCCGAAAGGAATTTGTAGATGCTCATGGTATGAAGAGAGAGCTGGAAGACGGTCGGATCCATCCACCAGCAAACTCTCAAATCTGGCTCTTCAACCCTCAAAATTCTCAAACATGGTCAAACTCTCATTATCTCCTATAAGATATCTATGTCCTTGAAGAATAACTTCAAGAACATCTCTCCTAACTGGACATCGGCATGGCCGTGATTATACTCAGATTACGAGTTTATTAGTAACGTAGCATTAATGATAAAAATTGCAACAGCATTTATGATAAACAAGAGTAATAGCATTTATGATAAACAATAGTAATAGCATTTATGATAAACAGATTTATATCTATTGTTGCATAAATAAGAGGTAATCTGTAAAGATTCACTCTATACCCACAAAATCAAATCGTTTGATATATATTTTCAAAAGACGTATTACAAAATACAATATTTAAAATAAAATTTCTAATGGATTTTAATTAATTCAAAATTGGATAAATTTAACGTCGTAAATCTCTACAGAAAATAATATGATGTATACAACATATGACATCTTTGTACGGACTATTAAAATATACTCTGTGTTTCGCTGCTTTTCATTTAAACTTATTTCCTGGAATTATTCTACTTCAGTCTCTCAAGGCAAGTTGAAAAGGACATCAAAACCTGCAAATTTTGACGTTAAATACCTGGGCCAATTTTTGTCGAACGGGAGTCAGACTGCTTATAATTTTATTTTTTTAGAACGAGTATAAAACTTTCCCAGATAAAGTTTTAGGAACAGGGTGATACCAATAAAAGACAGATTTCGCTTTTTGCTGAAAATTATTTTTTTAACTGCCAAAACAGGAATGTTTTGGAATTACTTAAAACCCTTCTGTAACTGGAAATATATGAGTAAGACAAATGATTGCGAAAATAAAAGTAGGTAAGTACTTTTAAGCTGGGTGAGAGGGTGGGTGTGTGTGTCTATATAGAGAGAGATAGACAGGATAGATATAGATATGTATATATATATATATATATACATTTGGTACTGCGAATTGCAATAAAAAGGGGAGATACAGATAAAATAGATATAACACAACTATATGTTATTGCAGTCCTATACAAGATTTCAATGTTCTACGGCTAATCGTTTTTGAGTTATGTAAGTATAAACATCAAGAAAAAAATCCCTTTTTGAATCTATTTTAAATACATTTGTAATTCGTTTTGGATAGAATGAGTCCTTTATTTGGCCCGTACGTGAAGAATTCATGCAAAAAAGAAGTCCAAATGGAATCGGGAACGTTCAAAAAATGTTTCCGCTGAAATATGATACTTGACAGTTTTCACGATTACAATACTTTGTACAAGAAAGTAAAAACGTGTTAGATTTATTTGATTTTATTCTAATGATACGTGATACGTATCTAAAAGTTTGTGAAATATTGAGCGAAGGGGAGTGTTTGTTTACTTTGTTTAGATTTATTCCATTTTCTTTAAATTTATGTTTTTTTAATATAGAAAATCTGTAAGTCACTCAGTAAAATATAAGGAAAAGGTGAATTGTCATTTCACAGAGTTCACTCTATTCAATATAGAGCAATTCGGGTTAATTTAACTTCTGTATTGCTATGCTTAAGAATGAATACACAGTTTTCCAATCTTTTAGCATTGGTAATTGTTTAGAAAATTGGCAGTAGTTCTATGATCGATATAATCTCTGCTGCATTTATCAGCCTTAAGCGATCGGATTATGCCCAAATATTTTAATGAGGGTTCAATAAATAATATAGACTGCAAGACTCAGTTTTATTAACTCTTCAGTTCCGCTTAGGAAATCGTTTCTTTTCTTTTCTCCGATGGAAGAACAGCCGGTCCATTTCGTAAAGATTCTCGTCGACCTATTTAAGTCACGCTGAGAATTTCACTGTACGTTATCTCCTTAAGTCATGCTTCCCAGAGACTGTTTTTGCGAGAGTGTGGAACTTACTAATTAGTTGGTAAATTGAAATGCGGTGCAAACGTGCTGTAAAGGAAAGGAGCAAGTGAACCACGAACTGACGTCTTAGAGCCTAAGTTGAGATATTTTCAGAATATATAAAAAAATCTGTAACAGACATGCATCCAATGCCACAGATTGTCATTAATGTGAAAAATTAAGTTGCAGTCTAATTGTTGGCAAATTAAGCGTAGGTTATTGAGGTTTATCGTTTTTTTCTGTGTATGTTTACATAGTTACAATATCGTTGGAACTTTTCTTAAATATTTTTTTATTTGTTTCTGAATTCGGATTTACATACTTTATACTGTTATATACTTCTAATCTACCCGCTTGCAGCCTATAATGGTTTAATCTTCAGAAGCATTTGTCAAAATCCATGTCCCTCTCGTCTTTAAAGCAATAATCATTTCTTGCATGCTGTTTCATTTTTTCCTTATTGCAGTTCTAAGCTACGATATGCTGCTTCCTCTGACTTTGGTGTGAATGAACTAGTCCAGTATGTATGTAGACCGTCTCGGTTCTGTAGTTTCAGAAATATATTCCTTTTCTGAATTGCCTTTAGAAGTAGTTATATCTTCTTTATCTTCTTGATTATCCTTAGGATGAAGATCTTCTGCTATAAATGTTACATCCAGATTAATTACGATATTGTCTTTATTTTATTCGGCAAACTCTGATCCAATTTTATTCGGCATAACAGTTTGCTCCTTCTTCATATCCAACTATGTTTCTTTTAACAGACTTCGGTATATGCACACATGCCGTAGTACGAAATGCTTGTACTGGATTACCTAAAACGTCATGACGCATTGGTCGTCGTAAACGTTTCACATGATTTTCACTCGTTATTCCCTTTCCCGAAGTAAAATAATAAAATATGGCGAAAATGCAACTTTGATCTTCCATGCATTGTTAAATCCGTAAAACCAAACCCAACAATGATCAATATAAATACATATGACGTTCGTACTCTCAGCCATGCATAATATAACTATTGCGTGAATGCGAATAACATTAGTACTTCTACAAATTACACTTGCTGTCTTTTACGAAAATACATCAGGACTTCTCCGATAACCCAATATATGCGCTAATTATGGTTTCTTTGCAATTTTTCATGAGAAATTATTTATGTTCTTTTTTGGGCAATTCATTTTGTAGATAATTTGCTGAAATAACACCTTCACTCCAGCACTAGTTGGAAGATTAACGCTTTTTAGCATCGCTCTTATCATCTCAATGAATGTGCGATTCCATTCTATTGCGGATAATAAGGAAAAGTTATCTCATGCTTTCTCCCATTTTCTTTTAACAACTTTTCAAAGTCGTTGTTTACATATTCCCCTCCTCGATCTGACTTCAGTCGTTTCGGTGCTTTTCCCGATTGTGTTAATAGTACTTGTGCGACAAAGTGCATTCTTGTGTGAGAAAGGACGTGTCAAAGTATGCGACCATTCTTTAGTTTCTTCTTTACGCTTCAGAAGATAAATAAACTATAATGTATCTATATAATCATCAGTTACTGTTAGTATCCATTTTGTACCTCTTGGGGTTACAATTTCATAGGTCCGCGAAGATCTGCATGAACTAAATCGAGTATTTCGAAGATTCGAGATGCAGACTTTCTGAGAAATGGTTCTCTACATGCTTTGATAGCAATACACTCCTCACATGTCAGTAGACTGAAGCAGGGCACAGTATTCAAACCTACAACTATAGCTTCTTCATACATCCTTAAAATATGTGCCAGATTTCTATTACCTAATTTTATATGCTAATTATTGATGCATTCTGCATGGATCTGTTTCGTAGGACTAGGGTGTTTAGCTTAATGAAAAGCATATAAATCTTCTATAATGTAATCGGAAGCTGTTATATTATCATTCTAAAAAATATGAGAATAAGTAAAATTTACTTCGTTCCCCTTATCAGCTAGCTTCTTTACGGATAATAAATTTCCACATAGATGCCGAATAAGAAACACATCTTTGATCGTAAGCTGTATTTCTTTATTTTGATTATCTTGATATATCACTAAGCAATTTCCTTTTCCTTGACTAAACACTATATATCCATTAGCTAACGTTATTCGCTCAGGAATCGAATTACTACCGAAATTGCTTAAACGGGCTTAAATCCCTGCATATGTGAATGGTGGCTTCCAGGGCTCACTTTACGTATAAGCTACACAAGCTGTAGCTTAGAGCCCCCACTTTCTTGGGGACTCCCCAAAAATTAAATTATAGTATAAATAGATTAAAATATATTGTAACAGAATTATAAATGACCCCATATCTTAAATAGCTTAGGGCCTTATCAAGTCTAAATCTGGCACTAGTGGCTCCAGAATGAATATACCGGTAGCCTTGCAAATTATTCACACTTATAAAGAAATGATGATTAGAAACTTGTTTCGGTTCATTAATACAACTAGAATTTGTAGCTCTGTTGACTTGTCTGTTTTGGTTATGCTTAGGGTTCTATTTTGCATATCCCTTGGAATCAGCCTGTATATGTCTTGATATCTTGCAAAAGAAGCAAGCAGATACTTTGTTTTTTGTCAGTTTGAATGTTACGAATGGAAAGAGAATATTTAGAGCTTTATTCTGTTATCTATCCCAGATTCTTTACTTTCGTTTTGACTAGAGTGCTCTTCCAACAATTAATTTTTAAGTAA